AGATCCAGCCCAGGACTCACAGGCTCCTGGAGTCCATGAGAAAGCATAAGGCCTCTGCCAAATGCATTAAGATTAAAGGCATTGACAAGGAATGTGTTATTGCCAGCTCAGATGGGGCCTGCATAATCTGGGACCCGGTTGAAGCCAGAACTCGCCCACTCAACCCCTTCTGCTTTCTTTTTGCTGAAACACATTCATGTAAAGAAATTATTGAAATGATTTTAGTTCCTAATATTTGCCATTACCTTATTAAACTTTTTAATAACTTTTGCAAAACATCCTGTAAAAATACTTGTTTTCCTCAGGGTGTGCTGTTTCCTCTCCGTGTCTGTCAAGTGGTCACAAATAATTGTGATCTGCACTGCCCCACTGTACCTCCCATTATTACTGAAAGAACCACAGCGGGGCTTCAACACCATAAGTCAAATGAAACAAAACTTTCACCGTGCTCCATTATGTTTGATGAAGTTCAGAAATGTTCAGAAACTATAAACTGGTGTGCTCTTGCCTCTGGTTGTATTTTTTCGTGTCAAGGCAGCCCTAACAGGGCAGCGTGACAGTGATAGCGCATTGTTCTATCAGTTAAGGCAGCATTTGTTCCCGCAGCATACAGCATATGTGACTCAGGAAACCAGATGGGCTCTGCTGTCTACTTCATCTTTAGGGATGACATTTTCTTCTTTGCAGTAAAAGTGTCACGGAGGGAAAACCGGCGCTTCATTTAGAGGAATAACATTAGTTAACTACTGGGCCAAGACGCTGCAGAACTGATTATATATGCTGCGGCACTCTGAAAGAAAAACACTCTGCTGTGTATTTTATCCTTATAATCAGAACTTTGAGTTGGTACTACATTAATGTTTTAAAGGCTTGCAGCTTTATGTGCGAGCCTCCTCACATCAAAGACAATAAAGCATGGGCCGTGCATGCAGGAACATATCAATCTGCTTTATAGCATTTTTAATTAAATTCAATTTCAATGCAATGCTATTCATAAAGAACCAAATCGCAACAATAGTCACCTCGAGGCGGTTTATATTTTAAGGTAGAGACCCTACAATAATCCAAAGAAAACCCCAATGATTGGATGACCCCCTATGAGCAAGCACTTGGTGACAGTGGGAAGGAAAAACTCCATTTTAACAGGAAGAATCCTCCAGCAGAACCAGGCTCAGGGAGGGACGGGGCAATCCGGTACATCTGGTTGGGGAAAAGTCGTCCCTCTTCACCTGTGTGTAGTCTTTTCGGGTCCTCTGTGAGAGGCCTGGATGCTTAAGGGTCCTGCCTGGTATCATTGCCCCTCCTAGGACTGCACTTCTAGGCAAAAATCTTGGATGTCCTTCCTGGGATCTGCTAGAGTCACTCACCCTGAACAGACACCAGCAGCAAGAAAGTCCTGGGTTTGAATCCACCATGAGGCAAGGTTTGTGTGTTCTCCCCATGTCTGTTGATTCAGAATTTCTCGTAGGTGTGAATGTTTGTCTGTCTATGTTAGCTCTGCGACAGACTGGCGACTGGTCCAGGGGAGACGGGGGTTTGAGAATCTCTCTAAACATAACATCAAATAACTGAAAGAGGAGGCTGAAACAGGAAGGAGGCAACTGCCAAACAGAGGTGATTACGGCTTTGCCACAGACAGCTCAGCATTATAATGATAGATGGTAGCCACTCAAAGGTGCCCAAGGCTCATTATTTCCGAAGTTAAAAAGTTGGATAGTGAATGAAGCAAATATTTTGGTCCAAGACTTTTGGCAGACTTCCTTGTAGCTTCATTGGACTTAAAAAAATCCTGAGCAGATCTGATTTGCTGTGACTAAGAAAACATAAAAAAAACAGTCTGTGCAGAAGCACAACTTCAATTTAAACATGATTTAATTTCATGGAAGTTAGATTTGCTTGACTATATTTTGCATTGCTTCTGTGGTTTCACGTGAAAAGGTGGTGTGTTTGGGAAGTGATGCATGACAGACAGAGAGAGACTTCCTCTTTGAGTCAGATGCTGCTTGGAAAGTAGGCCTCCGGCTTTGCTTGGTTGGGTACGGGCCTTCAGACTCAGCGTGTAGTATTCAGACTGCAAGCCCTTCTGCTGTATGCACTGACAGCTCTTTCAGGCTCTCAGCTTAGAGCACTTCATGATTTTTCTCTCTTTCCTCTCAAATTGAGCCTCCTGGTGGGATTGTTGTTTCCTACCGACAACAACAGCAGGTATTTCATATCATCATCAACGCCACTATGAAGGGAAGAAGAGTAGGAGGCTCTCGGAGAAAACTTGGCTCAGTCTCACTCATCAGGTTGCATTAGAAGGCAGGAGGAGCTTTGGTCATAACGCTTTTGCTCGCTGCTGCAATAAATCTGCAGTTTTTAGTGTTATTATAAATGACAGCACAGTGTGATTAAACATATCTATGTGGTGAGCAAACGAGATAAGCTCTCCCATGCTTCACGGCCCAGTAATGATAGTAATAATCCAGAACACTGTAACCTGTGATAAAAGCTTCCAAGGCTTAGCTAATGAATTTCTGCTGGAGGCTACTGGGGTCACTCGCACGCGCACACACGCACACGTTCAAGATATGCACCCCTTCTTTTTTATTCAGAACTGCTAGATTTCAGGACATTAGACTAGCAGTTTCATTAGCAGCCATATCTCTGTGAAAGGCCAATAAACAAGAGTTTAATTTACTGGCATTGGCCTCAGGGGAGAGAGCTGACTGCAGGGAGCTTTGACAGCGTTACCCACGTAAGTAATATCATCTTCGCAAAAAACGATTCATTGTATAACAGAAGTTGAGGTATGCTGGCAGTAAAACGTGGAATAATAAAGGAGACTCCATATAAAAGATGCACTGATGCAAATGTATCTTCAGCCAAAGGATCTGTGGAATGTGGAAATGTGAAATGAAAGATCTTACACTTGTGATGACTTTAGAATAGCATTATTGATTTCTTCATAAAACAGCCTCACGCTGCATTCGATTTTGTGCTGACGTCTAAATGGTTTTCTACTTCATTCCAGTATTTCCCTTTAATAGGGTATTTAAAAGTAGAATGGGAGGTACTTCAGCAGAGCCAGTTCCCAGTTTGGATTCAGGAGACAAACACCCTCTCTACTTTTAAGATTAGACTTAAAACTTTTCTTATCGATAAAGCTTACAGTTAGGGATGGATCGGGTGATCCTGAACCCTTACTTAGTTATGCTGCAATAAGTCTGGGCTGCTGTCAGCTTTCCATGATGTTTATATGCCACTCCAGATTTAATTATTAGTTATTATTACTTTCTGGTTCTCTTCCACACTGTCATTTGTCTTGTCTTCCTCCCCTCACCCCCAACCGGTCACAGCAGATGGTCGCCCCTTCCTGAGCCTGGTCCTGTTGGAGGTTCCTTCCGGCTTAAAGGGAGTTTTTCCTTCCCACTGTCTTTACAATATAAAGTGACTTGAAATGACTGTTTGTTTGTTTTTTGACTCGGTGGTACATAAATAAAAACATTAAAATGTATTGTTCAGTTCAAAACTCTATCTGCTAGAGGCAAGTAAGATTTTACATTAAAACTCATATGATGTAAAATGTTTATATAATTGCTAAACACATGGAAAAGTTCTTGAACATAAGTGCAGGGGTAAAAAAGCTTTTTCAATTTTTTATTCAACCAAATTATCAAGTATAAAAACAATTATTCTGTGCGGGGTGGGGCGGGGGGAGGTGGGTGGGGTCATGGCAAGAGAAACTAGCAATGCTAAACTAGAAATCCTTTCTTTCATAACAGTTCAACATTCTCTGACAATGTCTTCCTAAAAAAAATGTGACCAACTCTTTCATACAAAACTCATCCACATCTTTATTTTAATACACATGCTGACTATTTCAAATCCCCCTTAATTTCAACAGGATTCAAATTCCATGACCCTCCCTTTTGAGCCATTCCTTGTTGCAAAGACCCACTCATGGTTCAACTTAAACTTTCAGGCAGATGGTCCCTCATTATCTTTAAGCATTCTGAGACAGGATGCATAACTCACTTGACTACAAGCTTCCAAACGCTCAAGATAACCTCAGACCATAAAATTTCCACCCTCATGTTTCACAGCTGGTATGAGGTTGCTCCACTGAAAAGCTGTCTTAATTATTTTGTACCAAACATGTCTGTCTTACCAGAGCATTTATCATTACTCCAAATGCTCTGGTGTTTTTCTGTTTCATTGAAAAACTGTAACATTAACGGTATGTACTCTTTACAGCTCCTCTCACTCTGTCTTAAGAGTAGAACAGGGTGAGTTCATTCAAGAATTGATAGTATTGATATAAATGTTGGTGTGACAGGATCGATACTTTGTTTCTACCCTCAGTGTTCAGTATACATCCAACTGAATTGTGTTAAATATTTTTTTTCTTTGGAAATGAAAAAATGTACCTAAAACCACTGTGGACTATGAAAAATGTCTGAACCTTTTTGTGTTGACTGTCACATCATGTTATATGTTATTTATAGCCTGTAGCACATTTAAAGAACAGAAACTGACTGGAAGTGCCTTAGAGACGGACACATTTACATTCCAGGTCTGTTTTTCCAAAAAACTGTTTCAGGATCCATGAAAAAGCTGAGAGGTGTGTTTTGTTGTATTAGCTAATTATTGTGGAAAGCAAAACAGTGATTTAATGGCCATTAAGATCTGTTCATAATTTGCAAAATTGATGATGATTGATCTCAGAAATCGTGACACACTGCTCTCCCCTGCCTTGAACTGCTTTTAAAGGTTAAACGTATATTTATATTTGGATCTAAATGCTTATCCAATGCAACTGTATTAATCTTATAACGTCATTGGGGTGATTTTCTGCCGAATTTGTTTTGACTTTAGAAGTGCATCACGTTCATAATATTTTATTTGTATTCAGGATTTTAAATGACCGGCCTGTATGACCACAAATCAAGCTATATACAGGGCTCTCTTAGGTCATTCGTGTGTGGGGAAAGTGGGAGGGGGCAGCTACACAATCATAAGCCTTCTTATGAAGGCGAAGTTGGGTGCAGTGGGAGAGGAGCGCGCAGTGCTGCAACTGGACGGCGCAGCGGCTCGCATTGTCCCGGCCATGACGAGATGCTGCTTGTGACAGCGGTGTCGGGATGATAATGAACGTCTTCAGTAAGTGTTGGGATGGACGAGGGAGGTTTTAAGTCAGAGCGCGGTGGAATAACAGTGTGCTGTTGTGTCTCTTGGCTCCTCCGCGATGGTGGCACCCCCGTGCGCTTTCCCCTCTGCTATCCGGTCAAGGGACGCTGGCAGAGGAGTGACAGACCGGCATCGGAATTCCTACAATTATCAGTCTCAGAATAGCTCGGCACGGGAGTAGAGGTACTGTCATGGAGAAACAGAGCAGAGCCAACAAGGAGGAAATGCTGACATCGAAGGAGGAGAAGCGCAAAGAGAAGAAGCCGAAATCTGGGAAGCTTTTCCGCAAGAAATCGTTAAAGTCTGTGGGGAGTTTTATGAACAGAATTATCAAAACTTTGGGCACTTTCACCCACTTTGGAGACGCTGACGCGCAGGACGCGGAGGATGATGATGGAGGGTTTCGGAATGGCGCACCTTGCACCCTCAGCGCCAGCTCAGGAATAATCAGAGAGGATGTACAAGTAGTTCGGGATCGGGTAGTGAAAAACACTTCGAGCACGTCGTCTTCTCTGTGCACCGGCAGAGAGAAACTACTTTACCAATACGGAGACAAAATCCCAGGTGTGCTGGGACTGAAAAACCACGGCAACACCTGTTTCATGAACGCCGTGGTCCAGTGTTTGAGCAACACCGACCTGCTCGCGGAGTATCTGGGACTGGAGCGATACAAGATGGACATGAGCCAAACCAGAATGAACGGGGTGGTGAAAAGCGACGGGACGAGGCATGTCAGGGGAGAAGTCACGGAGCACTTGGCGTCACTTGTCAGAGCCCTCTGGACTCTGGAGTACACCCCTCAGCTGTCTGTGGATTTCAAGGTACACCGCCCCCACCCCCACCACCACCCCCGAATTTAGTCTGCAGGTGGTTGTGAGTTGTCTAACGTGAAAGGCACACATAGGCACAAAATGAAAGGTACTGGAAACAGTATTAAAAAGGGCACTGTAGCAACCAGTTAGTTACTGCATTATTAGCTCCTTGGTAAGTACAGGTGTTCTGTTTAAACGCACATAATCACATGTTATTCAGACAGTATGCCTTTAACACCACTATGATTATTCTCAGTGTCCTGTTCAGATGATTATCATTTTGTATAATAGCACAGCACCAACTCCTCTGCCATGGTCAACAACAAGGGCGCAGTGCTTTGCCCTGACACTCCAGGGTTTCCCTGACAGGTGATAATGACACTGGTGCTCAGAGTTGCAGCAGTCTGAGGGCACAAGGTGAGCAGGTGCCTGGCTCTCATGCTGTTGCTGGGTTTGCACATGAAGACTTGATGGATACTACTAACTAAAACTTTAAAAAGGTTCACTCTGCTCGCATTATTTTATGAGCACTGGGTTAGAAGAGGTTAATTAAGGGGAAAATCGTTTAGATTTACCTGACTTGGTCACCTCTATTTTACAGTATTTATTTATAGTAGGTGAAAAAGTTGTGATGCAAAGTGAGCACCAGAAAGAGATGATTTACTTTACACTTAAGAGACTTTCTTCCTTGAGGATCAGGGACAGTGAGCACTATCAGGAGACCCTCAGGCTTTTCCTACTCTACCCACGCTGAAGATAGAGATAGAGGGGAAATGCAACTGTACTTTATCTGCCTGAAGCTCTTCTTTGCTCTGGATTTCTCTGAGCCTTAGCTCAATGCAAGAAGTAGATAATATTGGAGCGGCGAACAAAGAGACTCACAGTGGATCTATTCTTGGAAATGCTAATTACTCTGTGAAGATGACTGCTGAAAGATCTTGACCCCTGCAGCACAGACACGTGCATGATTTTTTTGTCACACCTCATTGTGGTTACAGAGAATCGGAAGGTTTACCTGAAAGCCAGATAGCCAGATTATCAGGGTTTCGCAGCCTATTAACGGAGTGTTGATCATCACGGAGGTTTTTTTTTTTTTGTCTTGACTCTTTTGCTGTCCCATCTGTTGTTCTCTCCGAAAAAGTCCTCGGTCAAACATAATTGATGCTGCCAATAATTTTTCGATCCCACACTTTCATTTCCTTCTGATCTCGGGAGACTCTGATATCACATTTTATTACTAAAACAATAAGAGGAGAGCACGGAAACATCTTGCCAAGATTAAAAGAAAAAGAAAAAAAAAACCCTCTTCTTTATATGTGATGAGATGTTTCCTGCTATAAACAGACACACACACACACACACACACACTGGATTTCTTGGCTGTGGTTTGTAACCATAGGAGGTCCAGAGTTCGTGCTGTCTGGGTTTTCTGAAATTGCCTGTTGAGTAATACCACAGCTGCCTGAAGGGAGGCATTATAAAATGATCAGATAGCTCTGAGGCCTGTTTCTAAGAGGCTAAATTAGCTCCCAGTTGCAGGAACTCCAGACAGCACAAACCAATAATAAACAATTCTCCACAAAGGACTAAGCTTTGCTTTAGTAGCTCTATTAATCTAGTCGTTTTTTAAGTTGATTATCTTTCTTTACTGGCATCTGAAAGTTGCGTCTTTTGTCAGAAGAGGACAAACCACAGTACCCATCTTCATATCAAATTGACTTTTATAAGAAAAGATAAAAGGCCAGGCTTGGAAAGGGTTCTCATTTTGAAAAGGACCCTAGGTAGAATTTATAGTGCCGCACTTTATATTTTAAGTAATGATGCTGCTGGTGCTGTAAATGTCGAATCATCCTGGTTTGATCAGCAGATCTTTACAGTTAATGACTCAGCAGAGGTCTGTTCCAGTCCTGCTGTGGAGGAAAAACAAGCTTTGTGCTACATTCCAGTACCACCTGGCTTATAGGACAGCACAGGTAGAAGGAGGGAGGCAGCTTTTATAAGTATTTGCAAAAAAACCCAAAAAAAAAAAAAGATTAAGTACCTCTGGGTTGCTTTGTGATAACACCAGCACTGGCAGTGTGTCCAAGGCTTCGGCTCCCACTGACGTGTCTCTCACATTGCGGCTGAGGTGCCGAGTTTCTTCAACCTGTGAGCAGATGTGTTGTTTTGATCTGTTCATCGTCGCCCCCCCCAACGGGGTGGTGTGTTTGCACAGAGGGGCCTAGATAGGAACAGAGCCTGAAACTCAAACAATTACTCAACAGCCAGTTTACTGGTTTCCATAACATGAGAGGCCTGAGAAAGAAGGGAGTTTGGGAGTTAGGGTGAGCAGGCGCGACGGCTGGACGGGAATCCTCCTAGCGGCGTGTATTGATAGGCCGGTTTGGGAAGCATATGCTGTGGTGAAAGTGGGTCTTTGTCACAGGTGTGAGTAATTACGAGCTCCATGTTAAGGTTTGCACAATTATCTATGCTGCAGGGTGCAGAACATGACTCACAAAGAGATCTACGTTAGACTGCAGTGATAGTGATAATGGTCATAGTGTTGTGAGCAGTGTTGGTCAAGTTACTTGAAAAAAGTAATTAGTAACTAATTACTGATTACTTCCCCAAAAAGTAATCCCGTTACTTTACTGATTACTTATTTTCAAAAGTAATTAATTACTTAGTTACTTAGTTACTTTTTAAAAACACGATACACAACCTGAATAGGTGATAAAGTGATAGATCTTTCAGCCCAATTCTACTTTTTCTACATACTCCATCATACAAAATGTAATCAAATGGAAAAGTCCTTTTTAAAACTTGTTTTATTAGTTTTAATCTTTTAACTTTATGCATCAAGCAAAAATTTAATTATATGCAACATTCTCTGACTGGAAGAAATTTGTTTAATATTTAAACCTATTTTCTGCACATTCCAGCACATAAAATATATATATTTTATGTGCTGACTAGCGGCCCTGTTGCTCTATTTTCACCTGTAAAGCAGGGGTGGCGTAGGCGGAGGTTTACCCTGGTGCAGGTGTGCCGCAGCGGTCAGTGGAAGAATCCGCGAGTTTCTCTGTGAATTTCCCATTATGTCGTAGCACAAACCGTGCTTGCTTGGAAGTTTAGGGGTTTTTTTCGCTGTAAAAAGAAGTTTTCTTCCCATGCACAATGCTAATGGACACGAATGTTTTTGTCACTTTTTATGGAATCAAACTTAAAGTAAGGTCAGTACTTCCACGCTTTAAACGCTGCACGCTTGTACTCTCTCCCGCACTGGATATATGATCCATTGTTGATCTGCACACAGCTGTTGCCACAAACGTTGTGGCACTGTCATGAGACATTCTTGCAAAAAATCTCGGTTTTAGTAACGCAGTAACGCAGCGTTCCTACGGGAAACTAACGGTAATCTAATTACCGTTTTTGCAATAGTAATCCCTTACTTTACTCGTTACTTGAAGAAAAGTAATGCGCGTTACAAGTAAGGTGTTACTGTCCATCTCTGGTTGTGAGGGTGTTGTTATTTTAACTGAATCAAAAATACACAAAAAATATTTTAATAATTCATTTGATTACATTTAAGTTTTCCATGTAATATTGTTACATAAGTACAAAATGTTCAATTTAATGGAATCTTACTATATATGTATACACACATATATATCTATATCTATATATATATTATTATTAATATATATATATATATGTGTGAAAGCTTTTAGCTATATATTATTATTATATATATATATATATATATATATATATATACATACCAAGCATATTTTTAATTGGTTAATGATTAATTATATGAATAAATACGCCTTTGATTTTATATATTTTTGTTGCATATTATTGAATATTATTGCTTCATAAATATTTGGAGGGCAAAAAACTATGAAGTAAGCACCTAGAGTTATATCACCAATGGTTAAAAAGGAACAATAATAATTTTAACAAGCGCCTGAAATCATTGGTTGAATGTTTAAATAGCTAAGTGGAAATGGATGAAATATAAAGCTGAACTTAAAAAAAAGTAAATAGTTAACTGATGATGGATGAACTGCATAAATATTTAACTTTGTCTAAATACAGTGGCTTGTTATCATTATATCAGAGACACCAAAACAACAAAAAAAGAAAACATGGCCTTTTCCACAGCCTTAATTATATCACTGACACAATTGCCACCTTCAGAGGGCTGATGGTAATTACTGTTATTACTTTGCTGTAATGACTAGCTGCACAAAAGCTTTAGGTTAGCGCAGGTCATGGTTCACAGTTAATGTCAAAGCATTTCTTCAAAACGAGCCTGAATGCCTCAGGCTTGTTCCCCGGCTGTAAACGACTGCTGTGCTAGACTGATTTTCCCCTGATTGGTCTCATTCAGAAATATCTGTAATGTAAGGTATGATAGTGCGATCCTAGGCTGGGCTGTTGGACCGAATGTAAAGTCTGTTTAGATCTTACAAGACACATATTTGAGACTGCAGAGGGTTTATTTCAAACACTGGTACATGCCTAAGACTTTTCATAGTAAAGGTACACCATCTATACTGGTAAAAATAAGCCATCACTGCCAGTGTCACTTTACCCATAACCCAGTGTTCATGGTCTGACTCTGCAAATAGCTCTGATTAGAAGTCACCATAGTCTACCATAATAAAATATGTAGCTTCTGCACAATCTCATATTATGTTGATAGTTCGTGTAGCAGCATCATAGTTTTGATTTTTAAAAAAAAAAGACCACACTTGGAAGAAGTTTGCCTTCAGAACTTCCAGTTTTTGATACACAATTAACAGTGTGAAAGGTCCAATTAAAAAAAAAAGTCACAATCCTTCCCTAAACAAAAATAAACCCCAACTGGCAATTGGTTTTGGGGTTTCTTTTTGCAGAATAAGACCTCTAAGTCCAAAAATTATAAGGTACTTAATGACAGTCCTGGAAGGGAATTAGTGTGATGCTCCAGTGGCAACATGAACATGGTGATATCACATACACAGTAGCTTCCAGGTGTTATCTTCAATTCAATTCAATTCAATTCAATTCCGCTTTATTTACATAGCATCAACTCAAGGCTCCTTGTATTGTAGGATAGAGCCCCTACAACAACACAGAGAAATCCCCCTGTGAGCAAGCACTTGGTGACAGTGGGAAGGAAAAACTCCCTTTTTTCCAGGAAGGAACGTCGGAAAGAACCAGGCTCAGGGGGCGGCAGCCATCTGTCGTGGTTGGTGGGGGGTGAGATGAGGAACACAAGACAAGCGACATAGTGTGGAAGAGAGCCAGGGAAAATAACAAGTAATAATTTAAGTGTGGTGTATGAACACATAGTGAGTGAGGCCCGCAATATTTGCAAAAACATACATAATTTCATATATATTTTCCGTAGGGATTATTAAAGTATTCTGATTCTGAAAAAGAGTCTGTTCAGTTTTATTGTTTTATGACTTCACAAATGACAGTTGTGAAGCGAGTTGACACTGTTGTGTCAGCTGACGGGGACGCCTCCTAAATGAGGAGAGATTTCATGTCTCAGCTGACCTTGAGAATGCCTCCAGAAGAGGCTGAGGAGGTGGCCTAAGATGGGTCTTGGCTTCTCCAGAAGTCTTCCAGACTCAGATGTGGGATAGCAAATGGAATAACAGTGAATGGATTGATACTATATATTTTTAGATTATATTGATATACGCTACCAAGAACAAAGACTGTGTACTATAGAGCTAATGTTATCTGAGCATTTTCACAGAAGGAGGCCGGGTGAATCATAAACTGTTGAAAGTGTCAGTGTCCTCAAAGGGTTAACATAATGGAAATGTTGGTCAACAGAGGCGTGGATTTCCAGTCGTTTCAGCTAAAAATAGCAGCTCTGTATTCATTAACTGTGGTGTCTCTTCCGACTGCCGTATCTTGTAGCTATTGCAGTGACAAAACTCTTCACTTTTTGCTTCCTCGAGATGCATGAGGCAAGGGAAACTTCGCTTTCATGACAAGATCAGAAGACAAGATTAGAGAACCTTATTGCTCAGCCGAGATTATGCCAGCATTTTTTATGTTTATGAATTTTTATGTTCACTTTTTGCTCCTGTCCACATTTCAGTAATTACTTTGAAGAGGCAGTCCCAGCTCCACATCTATTCCTCTATCTTCCTAACAAACAGCTGCACACAGTCAGGCTGGACAGCTGCCCAGCACAACTGCACCTTTTATATTGCGAGCTGAAGCAAAATTCATTTACTTGCTTTTGCACAAGGACACTTCAGGGCTGGTTTAGCTGTTTTTTGTTTTGTTTTTTTTAATTCAGCATATCTACCCATTTATTAAAGAACTGAAATGGTAGCTCTCGACTCTCAATCCTCCAGCTTAGGCAGACACCCTACATCACGTTGGGGTGTAATAGCTTTAAGAGGCATATCACATATTAGTGTCAGTCTTTTGTTCCCTCTGCAATGATCTCTCATCACAGCCTCTGCTTCGCCGGGCTGCCAGCTGCAGTTCACGAAGCAAATTCTTTGCCTAATTGAGTTGTGTGCAATTCACATGTGAAGTGACATTAAACTGTACTTGAGTTGATGCAGTCTTCAACCTGCTTTTAAGCAAAATGTTATCCGCACCTCTTGTTTGATATGAAAATCTTGAAATTTTAGTTAAATTAGACAACAAGGTGGGTAGATGATAAATGCAGATTGGCTAAACTTTTACTAGAAAGCATGTTTTTTTTTAAGTATTACACAAAAGGCAGATTTTGCACATTCTTAAGTCAAAAGCGTGGGCTGGGCTGAGACGAGGGAAGCGTGAAGTGCGTTAGTGCAAATTTGCAATTCTGGGATTCCTCTGATCAGCGTTCTGTGGAGAAGCCCAGGGTACATCTGCCCATTCAGGAGGCTCAGCTATACCAGCGAACACACTGGGGCTGTTAAAACCAGTAAACAAGCAGTCCAAGAGATTCGCATATTGTGGGAGTAACTTGTGTAGAAAGGATATCTTAACGAGGCACTTTTTTGGGTTCTCCTGACACTGCTTTAAATCTAACAGGCTGTCAAATTATAAAACTCAAATAACAACCAAAACAGAATGGGGGAGTATGTGAATGGAATAGATATTATTTTAATGAAGGTTTCTCTCTGAAGTCGATCCATCCGTTGAAATAAATAAATAAATAAAATAAGAGACTTAAATTGTGTCTGCTTTTCTTTTCTCCAGGCTACAGTGTCCAAGTATGGATCACAGTTTCGTGGTAATTCCCAGCACGATGCCCTGGAATTTCTCTTATGGCTTCTGGATCGCGTCCACGAAGACGTCATTCTGGCCTCCCACAATAACAACAACAAGACCAAAGCTCCTGGAAAGGTAGGACTGAAGCAGTTAGCATGTATGCAGTTAATTTCCAAAATTTACATAGAAACTCTTATACATATGTACTCTTGGAAATGATCTTCGTAAAGTCATAAAAGAGTATACTGAACCATGTAAAATACATCACATCTGGATCTCAGCTCTACAGACACATCAGTAATAATTTAATATAAATGATCTACTTGCTTAACTAATGCAGAAGTAATACATGACTAAATATGTGATTTAATGAATAATCTGTTTCTCCTTCTTTGGCTTGATATATTATACAGGCATTGTTATTTCATGAGCTTAAATAATATTTAAGGAGTCATAATTTTGTCAATGTTAATCAAACTCAGCGCACAGTTATATAATTAGGGTTATGAATCAGTGTGTTTGTAGTGTAAGTTGCCTAAACGCTCCACTGTACATTTGGTCTTTGTTTATGCATCTATAGTATTCATGGCCTGTAGCCGTGTAGCTAATGAGAGCGCATCCATCATTCAGATCTCATGTGCTTCTCTTCCCCCCAGTGGCTCATATCTCGTGTTGTTTATTATCAAGCCAGCGAGTCTAACCTCACTGATAACGTCCCGACTGGCTTCGATAATTCCACAGATAACATCGCCATAGTCACATCTTCACAGGTCAGCTTCGAAATTTGTCTTGCAAAGCAGCTTTTCATGTCACCAGATGTAATGTGGCAATCTGCACTTTGCAATATTGCCCTGTGTCTAATGCATTGCCAGTGGACAAAGGGAATACAAGTATGGCAATTTAGTGTTTGATTTGTTCTCAGCATGTCTTCTCCTGAAGCCATGCCTGCAGGCACGATGCATCCAGATACCCCTTGAAGAGAACTTTGAACTGCTCTGCCGTGAGACATTAAAGCAGAATTTTCATGCATTATTAAAAATATGTTTTTACTTCTGAAATAGATATACCTCTTTATTTGAAGTGTTATTGGGCTGATAACCAATTTATGAGAAGTGCTGTTGGTGAGTCATTGCAAATAAATCCACTCATCTCACTGCCCCATGTTTCCCAAGGCAATAATTTAATGTGTTGTTTCAACATGTGATTGTGAGATAGGGATAAAGAAGCCTGACACTCCCAAGGTTATACGTTAATTAGCTTTAGATATGAAATATGCCTTTTTCCATGAGTTTTGTATAATTGAGTTATAATACATAAATGAATGGTAGTTATATAGTTTCTTTCTACTCAATTTGAGCACTCAAAGCACTTTGTATTGCAAGTCTCATTCACCGAGTCACACACAGACACATTCAAAAGCGCTTTTATCTGTGCTTAAGTGCTTTTTATCTTTGATCACTCACACATCAAAGATACTTTGATTGTAGATTAAAAACTTTACATCTACTAATTTCAATTCGTAGATGACCCACACTGCCACCTGAGTCAGAGCCACCCAATGTAGGGGAGTAAGTCACTATTTGTAAAACAGCGAAACAGCCCAAAATATGCATTCATAATCAAAGTTTTCCTGGAAAAAATATGGTTTAAGTTAGTTAAAAATGCAAATGTTAGAGATTATAGTGCAAATGTATTCTCTGTAAAAAGATTGTGTAGAATATGACTTTTGATCCTTGTTTATTTTTGTTTTGGTATGAACACGTCATCTGGACAAATTTCACCATCAGTACTAGATTTGCTAACGAGCAGCTGTCTCTACATCTAGTCAACTTTCACTGATTTTGGATCAGCAGGTTAAATTTTGAGTGTTGTTTTTGAATTGTTTTCTTGTTTGAGTTTAACCTCCTAGGATCTGGTGTCCACATATGGGGACATCACATTTTGGGTTGTCTAGACCACAATACAAAATTTTGCTCCTTCAAATGGCTTTCAAATGAGCCGTATTGCTCTAAGCGGCACAACTGTTGTTTCTCATTTTGTTTTTGTACTCAGGAAAAATGCTGTTGTGTTCAGACACCAAATAAAGACTTTTGCACATCATTACTCAGTTGTACTTTATAGTGTTGTATCGAACACTATAAAGCCTAAATAGCAAAGAGAAATTAAAAATGCATGCCATGAAAAAATTTGGGCCTTAGGAGGTTAAACAGCCTTTTAACAACAAACAGCTGTCCAAGCAGTGGCCAAGAACATGTTTCAGTACAGGAAATGCATCAATATCGAAAGCTGAAAATGGCTCTTGTGTACAGTGTAAAAGATGTTTACATAAAAGTGCAGTCGACATCAGAATCCAGTTTAAAACCAAGCAGCAACCTTGGAATTCAAATGCCTATTGGGTATCTTTATGTCTAATCTCTTTGCAACTAGATTTGTCTTTTATATGTTTTCTAGACAAATAATCAAAGAATATTTAAAGGTAACAACTTACAGTGCTTTGATGAAGTAATCACCGAAGTTATATCATTGATTTTTAACAGGGTAGCTAGCATCTGTAGCCTATTATATTTCAAAGTGACCTTCCAAGTACTTATTGGGATGTCTTTTGTTCTCAGTTAGAAAGGAGGAAAGTCCTTGTTTTCAGAAGGTGCACTGTCAGCATGTCATTAAAAGGCCAAAGCCACACTGTATAGCATTTCTCCTGTCTTCTCTGTAGTGTAGCTGTGAGAATTTGGAGCTCTGTTCACTTTGCCCTTTTTGTGTGACCAGCCCGATGAATCACTTAAATTATTTTTTCTTCTATTTCTTTTTACATCACACAAAGACCCATCTGATGTCTCTTAACTGGAGTTTACCTCCTGCTGTAATCTCAGCTCGGAGTTATAGTGAAAGATGGGGTGAGGCTTTCCCATATGGAAAAGATATATATAAATCTTATAAAGTTTGTATCTGTCTTGTGTGAAACTTGTATGAAAAGCATATAAGTGTGAAAACAGATATAAGATCCTTGAAAAATTATATAATGAAATTTGTATGTTTTGGATACTTACTAAAACAATGTATGAAAGTAATGCGAAAGTGGCCACTTTCATGAGTAAATCATGTAAGCCTTATATGATTTACTCATGAAAGTGGCCACTTTCATGAGTAATCACATATAAGTTTTTACTATTTCTTTTCTGTATGGGTTAGGCCAAAGGAGGGAGGGTCAGGACTGTATCTTTGAGTAAACTTGGGTGTGCAAGGGACATGAGAGGATCTTAGGACTGGAGAGCTGCTGATAAGGTATGTTACGCGCCTGCGGCACCCCCCGGGAAAATTTTGTCACACCTTGCTCAGCACAGCTGGTGTGGCTTGTAGGATATAAAGGTTTAAAAAAGCATGTTGACTTTTTCCTTGATCCTGATATATGATGGTGTCAGCATCAGGATTCATTTGATCAAAGGAGCTGGATGTTTACTGGGGTGTTCCTGCTCAACACCTTTACATCCACTTAGAGAAAAATTGCAACAGCATGTGAAGCTCATTTGTTTTTTCTTCATCCTTAAATTAGTTTAATATTGTAACCAAAATGTTTTACCTTGTTGAATACTTGATTTTATATCAAACAATGCAGATGTGATTGAACTGCAGACTTTAAGCTTTAATTCGAGGGGATTAACACCAGGTTAGGAATTAGTGCCATTTTTAAACTGTCTCCCATTTCCAGAGCCTCAAAACTAATTGGAAAACTGACTAACAACCCATTTCATAGCCAGGTGGTGGTGATGCCTATACCCTATATGCCTATAGTTAAGAAAAACAACTTCACAACATTGAACTAAGTCAGGAAAACTTTAAAAGATGTGGGCCTATCATTAATAGGAGCTACAGTCTATAGGAGATAGAGGGTTGCACTCGAGAACAGAAAGGTCAGATTACACACAAAAAACCCTGCATTGTTTTGTAAAACAAAAAAACAAACAAAAACTATTTGAACAGATGAAACCAAGATTAACTTATTAACTTATACCAGAATGGGAAGAGAAAAGTGCGGACGAATGGAGAAACAACACATGGTGGGTAAAACACCACATCAACTGTGAAACATGGGGGAGGCAGTGTTATGGCACGAGCATGTGTGGCTGCCAGTGGAACCTGGTCTTAGTCTTTATTGATGATGTGACGGCTGATAGAAGTAGCTGAATGAATTGTGTGGGGCTGTACTCTCTGCTCAGAAGAGCCAAATGCTGCAAAGCTGATCACACAGCTCTTCACGGTACAAAGTGATGATGACCCAAAACAAACTTCAGAAGCGACTCAAGAGATTCTCAATGCAATGGCCATGTCAGTCAACTCAACTCTACCTAGTAGAGCAGCTTTTCAGTTACTAAAGACAAAACCAAAGTCATAGAGACCCACAAATAAACAGCAAATCATAGCAGCTGCATTTCAGGGGAGGAGACATAGCAGCTAATGATGTCCATGGTGTCATGAGCTGGCTGTGTGCAGCAGGCAGGATGGGACAGCTTAGGATAGGACACAGCTTTGTTGCTGGTGTGCAGGTGATACAAAATTAAACTAAACTAAGCTGCAAATCCGGAACCTAAACATACGGAGAAACACACGGTGAAATACACAGCCATGAATGAGGGAGAACACGATAGTGGACTGAGGGAAACAGAGGCTTAAAGACAGAGGGAATGATGAGGGAACAGAAAACACATGAGAGACACAGCAGAGACGAATTAGACACAACAAGGCCAGGGGAGCAAAACTAAACACACTAAACAAGGGTTGCAAGACTTTCACAATAAAACAGGGAACAACGGAACACAAGACTATCAAACGAGCTTGACACAGGCAGACAGGGAGGAGTGAGGGAACATGAGAGACAGAGTGAGAAAGAGAGAGGAGACGAGAGAGACATGACAGGCTGGGGATCCATGGATAAGGATGATGGGCGGGAGGGAACATGGAATGACACACAAGGAAGGGAACGTGGGCGTAGAAGAGGGAAACAAGGCACAAGGACTGTGTCAAAAGGACCCAGGACCATGACACATGGGTTCTAGAAATCAGGAAGTTATTGACTGCAAAGGATTTTTTTTAAATCCAAGTATTAAAAGCAATATGCATTTAAAATTATGTTGTTTTTT